ACCGATCGGTGTATTACAGTACCACGAGAGCTAAGAGAGCAGACTGCTCTGTACGCTTTCGAATCGCTCTCGCGGATGTCAAACACTGATCGATCTGCGCCGCGCTGCTACTAGTCGAACACTAGTGCTGCAGGCTTATTGGCTCACTGACGCTGATGAGATTAACCCCTTTGGTATCGAAATTTGGTGCCGAACGACGAGACGTTTTTCGATACTCGGTGGTATCGAGGCAATTCGGTCGATGCCTAAAAAGTATCGAACTCGATACCCAGCCCTATGAGGAGGTAGAGAGACTTTCTTGGACTGTACATCTCATCTGACCTCACCTGGTTGTATAAACCCCTTCATCCCTTGGACTTGTGCTATAAACCTCCTACTTGAGCAATAAGTGTTCTCCCCCGCTATATTACTGTGTTGCACTTTGCACTACCTCATTTGTTTAGCACATTGTGCTTGTATTTGTACTTAATCCTATTCTCATTGTGTATTTATGCCTTGGTCATTTGTATTTGTCTTTGCTTGTCTATATTGCTCATTTGTTTGTGTATGCTTACAGTTTGTATATATTTTTTCTAATATACTGTATGTCTGTTCTTATTGCTCACGTTTATTTATACTGCTAATTCTGAAGAGCTGCTAAATGGTTTTTCATGGTTTAAAAAATCTAATTCTGGGTTATTTTAACTATCAGCAGACTAAAACAATGATGTAGTATGGAAAACAATTTAGTAAAATACATCTTCGGAACACTTAGAATAAAGCACACAGGTCATATTGAATACTGTTATAATACTTCAATGGTGCTTTATACCATATTAGAACAGTCCCAGTCCCCATTATGGAAGAGTTCGGTGCTTGAGAAAGACCCTTTATTATATGCTGAAGACTGTAAAACAATTCACCTCATCATCTCTGTAGACAGAAGCTGAATGTGCACCATTACATGTACATTCACATCTATTCTGTTCAATTATTCCACTGTTTAGTGTGAAAAGTAATGTAGGGTAAGCAATACTGTACACGATTTTCCCACATGCACATACACATACATAGTTCAGAACATAGAAGTATCTATATGACCCATAAATATATGATCAGGAAAGATTTTCTAGTAATCTTGAAGACATTGGTTAGAGACGTCAGGTGTGTTTCATTGGGTTTGGAGCTAAACCTCCAGCACTGAGATGTCCAACACTTGAGGTTTTTACGACCACTTGAACACTTTGACCAAATACCAGAGATACGTCATGTAAGTAGACTGGGAATCAAACCTCTGATCTTGAGATTGGCAGACGGTTAGTGTTTTTGTCGTCTTTATGTCCAGTTTAAAACACTGCAATGGTCAGTCAGGTGTCTGAGCTCCTAATAAATCAGTAAAAGTTTACTTGACTCTACAAATATTGGGCAATTCAGGATTTCAAGTGCACTCTGATCACCTGCTCCAGGATTGAACAGAGGAACGACTGATCCAGAGAATCTGCTGCTGATGATCAGGAGATGTTTTCTCTCGTTGACGTTGTAAAATGACAGCTGACCGTCATCATAATCGAACAGAACTCCCAGTCGCTCAGGTCTCGGAGTCAGAGAGAGTTTAACTGGTGGATCAGTGCTGGTGTAAAAGCCATGAGGACCGTCTGAACACAAGAACCAGTAACCAGCTGATGGAGTTAAAGCAGATCTGTCTTTTGAAGCAAAACGTCCCTCTTTCACCACACCAATTAACCAGTAGCTTTTGGGAGGTGTGTTTTCTCGTGCCAAATCCACCTCCCAATAGTGACGACCAGAGGTGAATTTTTGGGCTCCAAATGCACATAATTGATATGGAAATCCCTCATCAGTGTAATTATGTTCTGGACTGTCCCTCGTGATTTTACAGTCCTCAGAAACCTTCAGATCTGGATGTGAACGCTCACGGTCAATAGTGATCTCAACTGTGAGGAAAAAATACATCAGCATCAGATATTAATCTCGTGTATATGAGATGATATTTACACATATATGATGAAATATATGCATATATAACCTGCATGTTTCCTCAGTTCTTCTATATTTACATCTCCCACAACTACAATAAAAAAATATATAATTTGTGAGTAAACTACAGTTATAATCGAGAACAAATACAGTATCACTATACAACAGAAATGATTATTTAGCTGTATCAGAAAGGCATTTTCTCCCAGTATGTCTGAAAGGCTTCATCAGATTCATGAATACGTTCATGTTACTTACTTGCTCTAGGTTGTTTCTTCCCTGCAGAGCAGATCAAAAATATCAACACATGAGATGCATGAAACAAAAACCTCCCGAAAACTACATCTTTAAGATCTTTCAAGCAGATTGTACCTGTTAGATTGTCTCTGTATTTGTAGAGGCACCCAACCGAACTCAGAATCAGAATGAGAACAATGAGAACGGTGAAGAAAAGAGCCTTCCATGCACCTGATGAATCAGATGGATCCGAGACAGAACTCCACTCTGGGAAAAAATGTATAATTTAATAAAATATATAGCAAAATATAGAAATTATAATAAATAAGTTTACAAAAGAAAACAACAACAACAGTGCAAGTCAGCATGAAAAGGCATGTTCACGTATGAACATCATGACTTACAAAAGACTAGAGAACATACTGAACGCATCATTATTGAATCTGATAAACACCGGTGGAAAGAAAGTCACATGCGTTTGGAGCAACATGATGGAGAGTCAGCCTATTCTATTAATGAGGCATAGATCCTTGAAAACATAATTAACAGTTGTGGCTTGTGGACAATTCTCAGAGAGAGTATTCGTGTCTGTGCATGTCTGATGCCCATATGCTCATAAACACCACTGACCATCGATACTCCTATAAAACACTTGCCAGATTTGGAACTACGGATGTGGCCATTAAGAATATGTGTTTTTTTCTCGTGGCTGCACGCAATTTGTCCTGCATGATCACGGAGCTCCCTGCAGGTGCTTTTTTTCAGATTTTTTAAAAACATTGTTGTGCTTCACACAATATCCACCTGATGGTGCAAGGAACACAATTCTGCAGTTAAACACCCAGACAAGATCTACAAGTGCCCCGTAAAATAAAAAAAAATTAAGTAAAAAAATTTATAAATAAAGAAATAAGATTGCAAGAATAAAGTCATAATATTTTGTGAATAAAGGCATAGCATTTTGTACGATGGCGTTTTAGTGATACGTAAAAAAAAAATTTTTTAATCTAGGATTACGAGATTAAAGTCGTAATGTTTTGAGAAAAAAATGTGAGAAAGTAGTAGCGATACTAGAATAAAGTCGAAATATTTTGAGAATAAAGTCAGAATTATTAGAATTCAATCGTAGCAATTAAAGTTAAAGATTAAAGTTATAATATTTTAAGAGTATTTCGCATGCAAACGGTCTTATTTCTTAGCAGAAATAATAGCATGTGTAATATACTCACACAGACATGCTTGGAAATAATATTTCACGTCTTCTAATTCTATACTTTATAAAAAAATAAAATAAAATAAAAGGCCTCTAACACTAGCTTGCTCTATTCTTTTTCTATACTATCTGTTTTCTTTTTATTTATTATATGATTTTTAAAAAGCCCTTGCTACGTGTACTGCGCTAAGCTAACTGAGACTTGTAATAGTACTTGTATATCATTGCTCTCTTGTGTTTATTTTGATTGCTTCTGTTGTCCTCATTTGTAAGTCGCTTTGGATGAAAGCATCTGCTAAATGTCTAAATGTAAATGTAATTTAAATGTCTTCGATTGCATTTATTATTTGTACTGTGCCAGCCCCCCAATAATAGCAATAAGCTTTGTGCCTTTGGTACTTTTAATATAAAACAAAGCCTCAGCTTTCAAATTCTGTCAGTTTTATAACGAAATACAAACAATATGCCTTACAATAAAGTTTTTCACATCATGTTTTCACGTCATTGATCATGTCTGTCCTGTGTTAGAGCCACAGCATGGTCACTCGTGATCTATTCCCTCTGAATGTGCATTCTCAATGGCCACATCTGCATACTGAAATGTGCTTGTGCAAAAAATATAATTTATTATTATTATTATTTTGTGTGTGGCTCAGGGAGAGCAGAGCTCTATATCGCCCTCTATTGGCCAGACACCACTGATAATGAATTGTAGTTTTTGACTCACCAGTGATTTCGAGATCTACTACTTTGCTGCCATATTCTCTGTCTCCACTCACATAACAGTGAAATTAATCTGCATCCTGAAATGTGAGTTTCTCTAGTCGTAGAGAGACGTCTCCATCCTTCAGTCCACCAGACTGATCTGACCGCAGAGCCAAAGAGCTTCGGTTCCTGAAACATTCCTGGATGTCCTGGATCTTCCCATGATTATAGAGCAGAACAGGGTTGTTGAACTGATCGTGACGGTACCAGCGGATCTCCAGAGCTTCAGCGTTCTCAGGAGGAGAGGTCCAGCAGGGAACAATCACTGTGGATCCCACATGAGCCACTATAGGATCACCAGGAACCACTACAATAAACGACACTGACAGACAAAGACACACTCAGTGAAATATACAGTGTGTTAGTCTTCAATCTGTTTTTATTTAATATCAGTTTAATTTATCATATAAAATGAATATAACATGTAAATTTAAAATCATTGTTGTTCTGTGAATTTTCAGTCTTTTACTAGGAATCTATGCATTTGGGAATTTCACAGGGAATTTCCCGTTCAGATTGTGAATTCGCGAATTCTTCCACATTGATGAACAGAAAACCGATTGGTTTTAAAGTGAATCCTGTGCTTCATACATTGCTACACTATTGACTATAAAACCTACAACAGACGTTTTTGTTTGCGAAATATCTCGCTTTACCTAACAGTAGGGAGAGTGGGGGACGGTTGCAACGCTTCTGCATTTCCTTCAGTTTCTCAGAGACTGTTTGTATTGGAAAGCCAAAATTGAAATAAAATAAACCCACATCTGTCAGCTACTCACCTACACTGCTGTAACATGTGTACATATGATAATATACGTACAATTTATACTTGAATAGACAGAGTCAAATGTTGCAACTGACCCCGCAACAGGGGATGGTTGCAACATTAATTAAAATGGAATTAAAACCATTCTTAAATATAATTTTAAAATGTCTTTATTTTATTTGTGCACAGATAGGGTCTTCAAACTGGCTGTTATTAAGCCTCTCATCAAAAAACCACAACTTGACCCCAAAGAACTAGTTAATTACAGACCGATCTCGAATCTCCCTTTTCTGTCCAAGATACTAGAAAAGGTAGTATCCTCACAATTATATTCCTTCTTAGAGAACTATACTATAAAAAAATAAAATAAAATAAAAAATTGCCCCTTTTAGACTTGCACTCTATTTATTTACTAACTGCTTGTTTTCTTTAAAAAAAAATAATAAATAACACTTGCTTCTCTATTCTTTTTGCATTCTATCTATTTGTTTTATTTTTATTTATTATACAATTATAATTCGGACTTTCTAACTTCTGATTAACAAAAGCAAAAAAGGCCTCTAACACTAGCTTGCTCTATTCTTTTTCTATACTATCTGTTTTCTTTTTATTTATTATATGATTTTTAAAAAGCCCTTGCTACGTGTACTGCGCTAAGCTAACTGAGACTTGTAATAGTACTTGTATATCATTGCTCTCTTGTGTTTATTTTGATTGCTTCCATTGTCCTCATTTGTAAGTCGCTTTGGATGAAAGCATCTGCTAAATGTCTAAATGTAAATGTAATTTAAATGTCTTCGATTGCATTTATTATTTGTACTGTGCCAGCCCCCCAATAATAGCAATAAGCTTTGTGCCTTTGGTACTTTTAATATAAAACAAAGCCTCAGCTTTCAAATTCTGTCAGTTTTATAACGAAATACAAACAATATGCCTTACAATAAAGTTTTTCACATCATGTTTTCACGTCATTGATCATGTCTGTCCTGTGTTAGAGCCACAGCGTGGTCACTCGTGATCTATTCCCTCTGAATGTGCATTCTCAATGGCCACATCTGCATACTGAAATGTGCTTGTGCAAAAAATATAATTTATTATTATTATTATTTTGTGTGTGGCTCAGGGAGAGCAGAGCTCTATCGCCCTCTATTGGCCAGACACCACTGATAATGAATTGTAGTTTTTGACTCACCAGTGATTTCGAGATCTACTACTTTGCTGCCATATTCTCTGTCTCCACTCACATAACAGTGAAATTAATCTTCATCCTGAAATGTGAGTTTCTCTAGTCGTAGAGAGACGTCTCCATCCTTCAGTCCACCAGACTGATCTGACCGCAGAGCCAAAGAGCTTCGGTTCCTGAAACATTCCTGGATGTCCTGGATCTTCCCATGATTATAGAGCAGAACAGGGTTGTTGAACCGATCGTGATGGTACCAGCGGATCTCCAGAGCTTCAGCGTTCTCAGGAGGAGAGGTCCAGCAGGGAACAATCACTGTGGATCCCACATGAGCCACTATAGGCTCACCAGGAACCACTACAATAAACGACACTGACAGACAAAGACACACTCAGTGAAATATACAGTGTGTTAGTCTTCAATCTGTTTTTATTTAATATCAGTTTAATTTATCATATAAAATGAATATAACATGTAAATTTAAAATCATTGTTGTTCTGTGAATTTTCAGTCTTTTACTAGGAATCTATGCATTTGGGAATTTCACAGGGAATTTCCCGTTCAGATTGTGAATTCGCGAATTCTTCCACATTGATGAACAGAAAACCGATTGGTTTTAAAGTGAATCCTGTGCTTCATACATTGCTACACTATTGACTATAAAACCTACAACAGACGTTTTTGTTTGCGAAATATCTCGCTTTACCTAACAGTAGGGAGAGTGGGGGACGGTTGCAACGCTTCTGCATTTCCTTCAGTTTCTCAGAGACTGTTTGTATTGGAAAGCCAAAATTGAAATAAAATAAACCCACATCTGTCAGCTACTCACCTACACTGCTGTAACATGTGTACATATGATAATATACGTACAATTTATACTTGAATAGACAGAGTCAAATGTTGCAACTGACCCCGCAACAGGGGATGGTTGCAACATTAATTAAAATGGAATTAAAACCATTCTTAAATATAATTTTAAAATGTCTTTATTTTATTTGTGCACAGATAGGGTCTTCAAACTGGCTGTTATTAAGCCTCTCATCAAAAAACCACAACTTGACCCCAAAGAACTAGTTAATTACAGACCGATCTCGAATCTCCCTTTTCTGTCCAAGATACTAGAAAAGGTAGTATCCTCACAATTATATTCCTTCTTAGAGAAAAATGGTATCTGTGAGGATTTCCAGTCAGGATTTAGACCGTATCATAGTACCGAGACTGCTCTCATTAGAGTTACAAATGACCTGCTCTTATCATCTGATTGTGGTTGTATCTCTCTATTAGTGCTATTAGATCTTAGCGCTGCGTTTGACACTATTGACCACAACATTCTTTTGAATAGACTAGAAAACTTTGTTGGCATTAATAGAAGTGCATTAGCATGGTTCAAATCGCACTTATCTGACCGCCATCAATTCGTAGCAGTGAATGAAGAGGTATCATATCGATCAAAAGTGCGGTATGGAGTACCTCAAGGCTCAGTACTAGGGCAGATACTTTTCACGCTTTATATGTTACCCTTGGGAGATATCATCAGGAAACACGGTGTTAGCTTTCACTGTTATGCTGATGATACTCAGCTCTATATTTCTTCGCAGCCCGGCGAAACATACCAATTTGAAAAACTAGCGGAATGCATAGTCGATATAAAAAACTGGATGATGAGTAATTTCTTACTGCTAAATTCTGAAAAAACAGGTGTTAATTATAGGACCTAAAAACTCTGCATATAATAACCTAGAACACTCCCTAAGACTTGATGGCTGCTCTGTCAATTCTTCGTCATCAGTTAGGAACCTAGGTGTGCTATTTGATAGCAATCTTTCGTTAGAAAGCCACGTTTCTAGCATTTGTAAAACTGCATTTTTCCATCTCAAAAATATATCTAAATTACGACCTATTCTCTCAATGTCAAATGCAGAAATGTTAATCCATGCGTTTATGACCTCAAGGTTAGATTATTGTAATGCTTTATTGGGTGGTTGTTCTGCACGCTTAATAAACAAACTCCAGCTGGTCCAAAATGCAGCAGCTAGAGTTCTTACTAGAACCAGGAAGTATGACCATATTAGCCCGGTTCTGTCAACACTGCACTGGCTACCTATTAAACATCGTATAGATTTTAAAATCTTGCTAATTACTTATAAAGCCCTGAATGGTTTAGCACCTCAGTATTTGAACGAGCTCTTGTTACATTATAGTCCTCCACGTCCGCTGCGTTCTCAAAACTCTGGCAATTTGATAATACCTAGAATATCAAAATCAACTGCGGGCGGCAGATCCTTTTCCTATTTAGCGCCCAAACTCTGGAATAACCTACCTAACATTGTTCGGGAGGCAGACACACTCTGTCAGTTTAAATCTAGATTAAAGACCCATCTCTTCAACCTGGCTTACACATAACACACTAATACGCTTCTAATATTCAAATCCGTTAAAGGATTTTTAGGCTGCATTAATTAGGTCAACCGGAACCGGGAACACTTCCCATAACACCCGATGTACTTGCTACATCGTTAGAAGAATGGCATCTACGCTAATATTAGTCTGTTTCTCTCTTATTCCGAGGTCACCGCTGCCACCAGATCCAGTCTGTATCCAGATCAGATGGTCACTGCAGTCACCCGGATCCAGTACATATTCAGACCAGATGGTGGATCAGCACCTAGAAAGGACCTCTACAGCCCTGAAAGACAGCGGAGACCAGGACAACTAGATGAGCCCCAGATACAGATCCCCAGTAAAGACCTTGTCTCAGACGGCCACCGGGACAAGACCACAGGAACCAGATGATTCCTCTGCACAATGTGACTTTGCTAGCCTGAAATTGAACTGCTGGTTTTGTCTGGTCAGAGGAGAACTGGCCCCCCGACTGAGCCTGGTTTCTCCCAAGGTTTTTTCTCCATTCTGTCACCGATGGAGTTTTGGTTCCTTGCCGCTGTCGCCTCTGGCTTGCTTAGTTGGGGACACTTCATTTCCAGCGATATCGTTGACTTGATTGCAAATGATTGCAAAGATACTATTTAAACTGAACTGAGCTGGATGATGACATCACTGAATTCAATGATGAACTGCCTTTAACTGAAAAATGAGTGTTTACTATTGTCATTTTGCATTATTGACACACTATTTTCCTAATTAATGCTGTTCAGTTGCTTTGACACAATCTGTATTGTTAAAAGCGCTATATAAATAAAGGTGACTTGACTTGACTTGACTATCATCTGACTATTTCTATATATCTATCTATCTATCTATCTATCTATC